CCCCCCCCCCACGCCACCCCCATCCCACTTTTTACCATTTAAAGGTTTTAGTTCTTTTAATTATTTTTTACTATTTAATGTCTACTGAAGTATTTTAATATGACTTGGTATCTGGCAAAATAATCTGACTCGAACACCACCCTTATAAAAAAAAAAGTTTTATTTTCAAAATGACAATGTTTTAGTCAAAGTTTGACTTCATGACTTCATTTTGTTTATTACTATTTGACATCATTTGACAGGGTTGGAAGGTTATAAAGACATGAGCCGAGTTAATTCGGTTTTATTAAAATCAAACAAAATTAATTATATCGATTTGAATTGGTTCGATTTTGTCGGGTTTTTCGGGTTTCCCGGATTTTTTGTGATATCAATATTATTTCAGTCTTACTTTGTTAAAATTATAGATAAAGTTTTGATGAGTGAATATATGTTTAGTAAAATAAAAAAAAACTGACAAACATATGATCTATTAAAATATTCTTATTGGAGAATTTTTTTAGTAACACATGGTAATTATTTTCTTAGTCGTCTAACAATAATTATTTGTTGATATACGCTTTCAAGGTTATTCGAATATATGAAACCTAAATAATGATATATTATGTTTAATTTTAAAATTACCGATAAGATATCATCTCAAATTCGCAAAAGATACAAGAGTTTAATAGATCTTGAAATATAAATATAGAAGAACAAAGGAGTGACTCATTTCAATAACACTTAATGAGAAAGTGATATGCAAATCATTATTTAAAGTAAACAAAAATAGATTCACTTCATAGTTTTATTAAATATTACATCCATGAGAGGATCACAAATATTTCTAGATATTTTTTTAAATTTTTTTTTATATAAAGTCTTAAAAGTATGTATAATAATTATATATTTATATGTCGGTTTGGTTCGAATTTTTTTACTCAATACCAAACCTAATCAGGCTTTTTAATCAATTTGAACACCCTTAATACAGGGCATGGAGGCTGGATTTTCTTTTATTGTACAAAATAATATTAAAAGTAATGCCATAAAAAACTGGTTAGCATGTAAAGCCACTCGTGGAAGAGAAGAGCAGGGGTGGAGATCTTAGTTGAAAAGAGTATGAAATTGTGAAATAATACTGAAAAAAAAATATAGAAGATGAGATGAGAGAGAATGTAATATGATGTTTAAGTATGATTTAAGCTCTGAAATTATCAATCTATGTTATCACTTACTCTAATAACAGATTCTTAAGAATACTTTGTTGGAGTTCATTTTGTCTAGTTACTAATGGAAAATTGAACTGTTTAAATCCACATTCGACTGGATATATACAACAACAACAATATACTCAGTATTATCCCATATCGTGGATTCAACTGGATATATACGTTACTTAAACTATGTGACCGGTCGCTAAAGCAATGGTTGCACTTGTTACCTCGAAATCCTGGATTACCCGTTCTTTGTAACCAAGCCTGTAAGAAAGAAAACTATAAACTTGAAACTAAAGAACTTGAAAGAACAATCATATTCTGCTTTAGTTCATTGCAATAGCTTTTAAGTATCAGTCGCGCTAGTTGTTTTGTAAACTTTTAACTGTGTGTTACAGAATTATTTTGCTAGTTCTTTCTTGTATTGCCTGAAATTTGGCAGTATATAATTTCCTTGTCAAGTAACACTTGGTGTAAGAAAGAAAGAAAGAACCAAAAAGAAGAAAGTAACATTTGGTGTTGCAGTTTTGTAAGTTCCTTGTTTTCTGCATCACCAATCATAGAACATGGTATAATAAGCTTCCTCAGCTGAAACTATAATATGGATTCCGTTCGGGGCTCTGAGTCCTGCTGCTATTTGTCACCCCAAGCACAATCAAGCATGTACATCTAGTGGCGTGTATGTAGATACATTCTTTTGAAGTATTTAGAGGAGGTAGATCCACATATAACTAATGCGCATAATCAAAGATATATGTTGGTATGGGTATAATTTGCGATGTTACTTCGTATGAGGACCTCCTCTTTTAACGAGTCCGCTGTTCTTGTTTCAACTCGTTTGTTTAGTGATTAGGTTACTCTTAATTTGGTCCTTTACATGTGTTAACCTCATGCAGCTGGTGTTCAAGATCATCCAACATCATTAAGATCATCAATTCATCAGCCCGAAACATCAACCAAAGCCAAAGTATGCAAGAGAAGTCCGGTGGAAAAAAGTCAGTCGGGGCAAATTAATACTTCACCAGCTATGCAGCCACAACCAGGATTAACGACAGAAGTAAAGGCGGAAATTGAAGATGTTGCACCTGATAGTATTCAAGGCGGTAATGGTGAAGGTCCTCCTCCTCGTACTACTGGCATTCAAGGGACAATTGTTAGTCCCTCGATACAAGAAGAACTGCGCACGACTAATGGTGCTCAGTTGGATCACAAAACAAAGAAAGAAGCTGATTTAAGTAATCAGCCAACCTGCAGCATTGATGTGAATTTCCTTCAACAAGTAGTGGTTGCTTTTAAAGAAGTAAAAGCAAACCAAGAAGAAAGCACAACATTGGTGAAAGAAACAATTAGCTTGAATCCAAGTCTTGAACCAACTTTTCTTGCCATCCGAGAAAAACACGGTGACATTACAAAGGATTGTCCTCTGGAGTCAGGCCAAATGCTGAGTTCTGTTTTAGCAGTTATATGTAAAGTTGTCCAAGAACTCCAAAAGAAACATTTGACTGATGTTGATTGTAATCTCTTGAACTCCTATTACTTGGTAGTCAAGGATGCTGAGAAAATGAAGGTGAATGTCAACTGGTTACGAGCTCGGCTTGATGAGATTAAAGATGCAGTAAATTCTATTGTCGAGACAAAAAATCTCAACGATGAGAAGAATAGGCTTGCGGAACTGATTGAAAATGAGAAAAGGAATCTGGTATTTATGAAAACTGAATTGGAGAACCTTAAGGTTGAAATTGCAACAAAGGAAAGTCAGCTTAATGTGGAAACACTGGTGAATCAAGAGCTAAGCGGTATGATTAGTAATCGGGCACTCGAAATTCAGCAGCTTCAAAACATGCCCTTGATGGAGGCATTTCAATAGTTCTAATGTGTCAAAATGTTCTCTACTCTCAGAAGCGGATGTAAAGTTTGAAGTTTATGGATTCTGAATTCATGTCGAACTCATAGTTTATCTTAGTTACTGGATTTACAATTTAATATTTATACATATTTTATGAATTTTCTAATACAAATACAAGTTTTAAGTAAAAGTTACTGGGTTTGCCTGCCGCTAATGCTCTCCCTCCACCCCTGTCTATTCTTAGGCTCTTAGATTTCCCCTCTAGCTCATTCATACCTACATGTTAAGGGTGATTTTTTTTATTTTTAGTTATGGTTCAGATATCTCCCCAACTTGTTTGGAAATAAGGACTGAGGGTAATTATTGTTGTTGTTATGGTTCAAATAGCTCATCGAATTCAACTCTCACATCTCATTAGTTGGTGCGAGAATTTTGTGTCGGATACAGCAAAATGTCCAACGGGGAAATATAAGCATTTTTGCTACCACGTGCTTTCAAATTCCTCTTTTTCTTCTCTGACTAATGGTATTATGGCTGTCATGCTGCATACGCATGCCTTAGCAGTAAATATTTTTTGATAAGTGGTATTAGCACATTTTGATAAGTGCCGATATACACCGCACCGAGGAAATTGGGTTGTGAGGCTAGTAACTATATTCAACAATTATTTGTCAACATCGTTCCAAAGCCCTACTAAGTAAAGGGGATGTGTTTGGTCTCAAGCATCTTCGTCAATACTCCATTTGTCCTCATTGGCGGGGCTTTGGGGGGGGTGGAGATAATTAGTATCTTGTTGATTGTTAATTTTTAACCATTAACGGTATAGAGAATTTTCGCTTGATCAGTATATTTTCACATGCAACAGATACTTGGCATTATTTTCAAGGTTACTAATTCAACTTTTTATGAGCGGAACTGCAATTTTTATTGGCTTTCTGTGTCTCATGAAATGGTGTGGCTACTTCCTTTTGAAATGTTTGAGCTTAAAGGAAGACATAGGAGTTGTCTGTGGTACAACAGGATGATGCCAACACTTTGGACTCGTTTGGCCATAGATTTTAGCAAAATATATTTGGTTTTTTTTGCAAATACATGTTTGGTCATAGATTTTATCTATATTTTGGTAAATTCCCAAACCTAAAATCCAAATCCCAAAAGCTGGTTATGGTCCAAAATATCACTATTGCATTTTTTTAAAATTGTCCTAAACTTTTATATCTTATAAAAGAGCCCGACCTTTATTATTTTGTAATGCTGCTTCGTCTTCTTGGTCATCTGATAGTGTATTATGTAGTTCATTATAAAAATGATAATTTTGTACCAAATTTATTTATATTCAGGATTATGATTTGCGATAATATAATGAGTATTATTGATAAAGGTATTGTTGGGTATTTGTGATAGTTTTTAGAATTTGTGGATATAAATCATGTTTCATGTTTTACCAAAAAAAAAAAGGCGAAATACATAAAGCACCCCTTTAATTTGTCCTCAACGATCAACTAAACACCTCAACAAGTGTCAAAACGGGCTTACCCAGCCCAGCCCAAGCCTCGCGGGCTTTTAAATTTGGTAGGCTAGGATGGGCTAGCCCGCCATATGAATAGGCCTTAAAATGTCCGGCCCAACACAGCCGTAAGAGGGTCGCGGGCTAGGACGGGCCGACCCTTTAATTTTTTTTAGAAAAAAGAATTTCTTTAAATCCTTAAATATTTTTTTTGTGACATAGTTGATTAATCATATAAACAACTTCTGTTTGCTTAGAGCGTAAAAAAAGTTTGATATTTGACGAGGAATCTCGTAATTGAAATGCAAATTCTTTATATTTCTAGCTCTTCTTTTTTAAAGTTACATGAATATTTTCTTAATATTTTCAAATTCAGAAATTGCTTCATCTCGCCATATAGGGGTGTTCATAAAAACCCGAAAAGTCGAACCAAACCGAAAACCAAAACCGACCAAAAAAAATGATATTTTTTGGTTTAGTTTGGTTTTGGTTTTGAATTTTAAAAATCGATCAAATTTGGTTTGGTTTTGGNATTTTTTGTTAAGTGTAAGAATCCATTTCGTGTTAAAAATAATATATTTTTAATTAAGTCTTTAAATTATTCATCACTATTTAATTCAATTATCATCAATATATCTTGGTAAATAACAGATTTCTTAAAGGGCAATTGATTTGATAGTGTTACGTTGAAATGTGGTCGCTGAAATATGTGTTTGGTAGTGCATGTCTTATATTTAACAAAAACCCAACAAATAACCGAAAAAACCGAAAAACCGACATAAACCGAATCGAGAAAAAACCGACTTAATTGGTTTGGTTTGGTTTTAATATTTGAAAAACAGACTTACTTGGTTTGGTTTCTTTTAAGGGAAAAACCGATCCAAACCGAACCATGAACACCCCTATACTGAGGTTTTTTAATATAGGATTAATATCATTTGTTGATTTCATCATTATAGTCCATAAATTTTTTAAAATTCCTGAAATTTGCTAGTGGTTAATTTTTTTAATGTGTATTTAAAATTTATCTTTTTCTATACTGAAGAGCAGTTTAAATATTAATAATATATTAAAGTACAAACTGATCATTGGCCACTTAAAGTAATATTTGCTTTCGAAAAAATATAATTATTGGCCAACTAAAACTTTTTGAGTTCGTTATTAATTAAGCAAAAGAAAAATTAATTTTGTCATATCATATACATGTCAAAAATCTAAATTCTAGTCTAAAGATGGGGAACGAGGATTATAGTTAATAGTTTTTTTTAGTTTTTACTTTTTTAAAATATTAAATATTTAATAACCAATTAATTTGAATTTAATTAATTTTTAGCCCACGGGCCGGCTCAGGCCCAGCCTCGGTCATGCCTCAAGAGCCAGCGGGCTGACTTGGGCCGAGCTTATAAGCCTCAGTCTTATATGGGCTCAAAAATTCCTAGCCCAATCCTACCTAAGTAGCGGGCAGGGTTGGGTTGGCCTCACGAGCCAAGCCATTTTGACGGCTATACCTCAACTGGCCAATTTATCATTTTGGCACTTCAAGTAACTATTAATTATATCAAGTAAATAACCTAGTGCAGCATACCATATGCGCGAATTAAACTTACCTAATGAACCAATTAAAAAGTGACACGTATCATTTTGATTAAAACACAAAAAAACATCTGAACCCTTCCCCGCACGCTCGCCCAACCTAACTTCCCTTATTCTTCACCTGAAATTGCAACACAGCAGCAGCGATGGAGGAATCCTAAAGCTTTAAAGGTTTAATATCTTCTCATACTAATTGACAGAAACTTTTCAACTCAAAATAAAATCTTTTTTTCATTCTCCACCGTTTATTTCTAATTTTGTTCCTTCTTTCTTGTTCACATTTTTGTATTCAAAACAAGTTTTTGAGCAATAAATTTGAAAATATCAACAATCCTCAATATCATCTTCTTCATTGTAGAAACCAAGTTTTGGTTTTTCTGGGCGTTGTTATCCGTCGTCTTCTTCACTAACGAAGCCAAATGCCATTACTCCCTCTACAACCTCAATATATTGAAGAACTCCATTTCTTTATCCGCAAAATTCGGCCACAATCGAATTTGGAATACCAAATCGGCATCTACTCACATTGTATACGGTAGAAAACGGGGCTACCCGATTTATAGGCTCGAGGGCGAGGGCGAGGTCGAGGTCGAGCCCGATGGACCAGACTCGAGCTCAAAGACAGAATGTGATGCCCGGATATAGGAGCATGAGGAATATCGAAGCCGAGTTTCCTCGACCCCGAAATAGTAACGTTGCGTATTTGTAACAGAATGAGCTAGATTCCTGCCACGTCCCCAAAATCATGGTGCAAATCCCAGAATAGGATTGTACGATTCTGTACTAGGTGGTTAGATAGTTGTATCAAGAATATTCCTTACTGTAAATAGAAATATACCTTATTTAGGGTTCCCCTATTATATAAATAGGACCCCAACCATTTTGTAAGAGGATCTAATCACTGAGCAAAGAATATACTCTCTACTTTTTGGTCTATTGTTTGTCAGAATTGTCTTTAGCTCAATTGTTCTTACTTTATTTTCTTACTTAATTGTTCTTACTGTTCCAAGCCCGCTTCGAGGTTACTAAGCTCGAGGTCACTGCTTTTGAGTAATACTGGTTTGATTCACCTATCTCATTCATTTCTACTTCATATTTCTTGATTATTAATTGGTATTGAACTAAATCACATATCTTTAAAACCACAAATCAAGTTTAATTGTTACTCATATTTTCGAGGTAAATAGTTTGGTGCCCACCGTGGGGCTAAAGATAATAGTGATTATTCTTTACCAATTCTCATTACACATGTAGTTTTTACACTTTTTCTTGTCAAGATTTTTTGATTCTCAAGCTGAAACATGTCTAGCTCACAAAATATACTTGTTCATGACAATGAAGATCTTGGAGAAAACGGCAATGCAGGGGTTGGTGTACCACCGATGAACCCAGGGGAAGTGCCAATTATGGAACCAGTTGATGTTAGTTCACACATTTCTGTAAACACGGATTTAGGCACAGACCCCGGGGGAATGCATGCAAGGAAGCCCCGATCTGGTGGCCAAAGAGCACCAGGAATAGGAGATAGGGGAGTCAGCCTCCAAGTGATATTCAAGATGATACAAGCTTAGCAAATCGTCATCGCTCAATTTTAGAGTCAGAATAAGACTCCAAATACAGCTGAACTAGTAAATACTCGGCGTACTGAACCGCCGCTAGAAAAGCCAGGTGAAAGTGGCTCGGGGACTGACCCCACGATTATGAGGATGCTCGAGGAACTCATCAAGAGAATCGAGTCCGGGGAGAAGAAGATCGATGATAATGACAAAAAAATGGAGACTTATAACACCCGTGTTGATCAAATATCGGGGGCACCCCCGATCTTAGAAGGACTAGACTCTAAAAGGTTCGTGCAAAGACCATTCCCCTCTAGTGCGGCTCCGAAGCCAATTCCCAAGAAGTTCTATATGCCCGAGATTCCCAAATATAACGGGATGACCGATCCAAATGAACACGTTACCTCGTATACGTGCGCTATCAAAGGAAACGACTTGGAAGATGACGAAATTGAATCCGTACTACTGA